TCTTGGCTACATAGGTTTTCTTTATACAAGAAAATTTTAATTTAAAATAATTGAGATTATCCTTTTTACAGTGCTCCCATCATTTATTATAGTTTAAGGTTTGATACTGCTGAATTTACTTCCTTTACATCTTTTTTCCCTTTTTTCTTTGAAGTTCCTGATCTTTTGTTCTTCCAAATGAACTTTCTTCTTATTATTTTTTCTAACCCAGTAAAATAATTTTTTAGTAATTTAGTCGGGATGGCATTGAATAAATAGATCAGTCAGATAAAATTATCATTTTAAAAATGATATTGGCTTTATCTACCCATGAACAATAAACATTACTTCAATTATTTAGATCTGAGTTTATTTTTATAAAAAGCATTTTATGTTTATGTTCATATAGTTCCTGTGTCTGTTTTGGCAGGCATGTGCTCAGCTATTTTATACTGTCTAGATATTTTAAATGGTCTAAAACAATATTGAATAGTATTGCTGACACATAGTATAGTTTCTCTATTTTTCACTTTTGATTAAATCTATTTTAAATTTAACTTTGTCTGAGATCGTGATTACTATCCCTGCTTTTTTTCATACTGAATTCCACTCCTGCCCTTTATTTTATCTTTGTGTGTATCTTTCATTTTTATAATGTTTTCTGAAAGCAACATATTGTTGTATTCAAATTTCTAATCTGCTATCCATTTGCATTTTATGGATAAATTCATCCCATTAACATTCTAAGCTACCATTACTTGTGTATTTCCTTCCTTCCTATATTTCCTCATTATGCTACACACCCTATCCCTCTTCACTTCTCTGCTTTACTTCTACCCCCTACCTTGCCCCCTATTCTTTAAACTGCCTACCCCTCTAAGAGTCCCTCCCTTATCCTCTCCTCCCATTCCCTCTACCAAATCTTAATTTACACACCCTTCTATGTCCTCTGTTCTCTCATCCTCTTATTTCTTTATAAATTTAGAACACTTTAATACCCTTTTAAATGTATGTTATTCTCTTTAACCCAGATCTGATGTGAACAGGGTTCCCGCACTACCAGTCCTCCTCCACCTATCTGATTCTTCCATATCAGGTCTTCCTCTCTCACCTCATTTGTATGAGATAATTACTCTTTTTACCTTTTCCTACATAAGTTTGCTTTTCAGGATCACATCATACTCAGCTGCACCCCAATCTTTCTTTTGAACTACCCAATTATGAATGACAATCTTAGGCAAAGAGTTTACATTTATTTCCATGTATAAAAATATAACAATTTAGGGGCAACTAGGTGGCACAGTGGATAGAGCATTGGCCCTGAAGTCAGGAGGACCTGAGTTCATCCGACCTCAGACCAAACACTTGACACTTACTAGCTGTGTGACCCTGGGCAAGTCACTTAACTCCAATTGCCTAAAAACAAAATTACAGTTTGTCCTTGTTGAGTCCCTTGTAATTGGTCTGTGATGTTTACCTTATATTTTTCCTGGATCTTGTATGTCAATTTTTTTTATTAAGTTCTGGTCTTTTTGCAACAAAATCTTGAAAATCTATCAATTCATTGAATATCCATTTTTTTTCCATTCAGGATTATACTTAACTTTGGGGAGTATGATATTTTTGGCTGCATCCCCAGTTCTTTTGCTCTTTGATATATGGTATTCCAAGATCTACAGTCTTTTAATGTAGCTGCTGCTAGGTTTTGTGTAATTTTAATTGTGGCTCTGCAGTATTTGAATTGTTTTTTGTTAACATTCATTTAAAAAAAATTTTGAATTCCAAATTCTCTCCCTCCTTCCTGCCCCTCCCCCACCCCTTAAGGCAAATAATATGCTATTGATTATACATGTTAAGTCATGCAAAACATTTCCATATTAGTCATGTTGCAAAAGAAAACACCCATACAAAAAAAGTAAGAAAAATAAAGAAAGTGAAAAAAGTATACTTTGATCTGTACTCAGAGTTCATTCATTGTCTCTCTGGAGTTGGGTGGCATTTTTCATTATGGGTCCTTTGGAATTGTTTTGATCAAAGTACCTAAGTCTTTCACAGTTGATCGTTGTACAATATTGCTGTCACTGTGCGCAATGCTCTGGTTCTGCTCACTTCACTTTACATCAGTTAATATATGATTTCCCAGGTTTTTCTGAAACCATGGGATGTGTTTTTTTAAAAACAAATATCTTGATAATGATATTTCAATAAATTAGTTTCCTTCTTGATCCCATATAATTAATTTTATGCAGCTAAGAGCATTATTCTGAGAAACATTCCATAAGTTTTGCCAGATAGGTTGCTGAAAGGTCAATACAAAAATAGTTAAGAACCCCTGGACCAGAGGAAGGTTTCCAAGCTCCTCTACGAATTATCTGTGGGAATATACAGGCAGTACCTTAGGATGAGGTGTAGGTAGCTTGGAATTTCTGTAGGGAATAGACATATACCAAGACATACCATAGACGATACCAAGAATGAGCTAAAGGAGACAAAGTTCAAGCCCCTACCCCTGAGGGCTCCTGCCTAGTCCAGGGCAATCGTCAGTCAGTCAACTGTTTAGTTGTTCAATTGTATCCAATTCTATGTAACCCCATGTACATGTCCACAGGATTTTCTTGGCAAAGCTACTGGAGTGTTTTCCATTTCCTTTTCCAGTGTGTCCCCATTTTACAGATGAGGAACTGAGGCAAATAGGGGTTAAGTGACTTGCTCAGGTTTACAAAGCTATTAAGTGTCTGAGGCCACATTTGAACTCAGATCTTCCTGACTCCAGGCCCAGTGCTCTATCCAGTGCACCACCTAGCTGCCCCAGACAGTCAAACAGCATTCAATAAATGCTCATCATGGGTCGGCCACTATGTTAGGTAGGAATACAAAGAAAGATAAAAGACAGTCTCTACCTTCAAAAAGCTCACAGTCTAAAGGAGGTGTGGAGCAGGGATAGGAGACAGCATGCAAACAACTATGTACACAAAAGACAGAGACAGGATAAATTGGATTTAACCAACAGAGAGAAGGCACTAGTATTAATGAGGCCTGGGAAAGCCTTCCTATAGAAGGTGGAATTTTTAGCCTCAGTTGGGTTCACCAACATGTGCTGATGCCAAAACATAGTATTAAAAGTGACTGTGAGCTCTGGGATGCTATGCCCAGTGGGGCACAAGTTCTGACCGAGCAGGAAAGGCTTTCCAGCACAGTTGAGACAACCAATGGTGTCAGTTGTCCAAGGACCAGCCTAGCTAAGTTTGGAGAGTCATATAACTAGCAGGTGGCCATGGATGCCCATGAAAGAGGTAAATGCCTGCTATGCTAGGACAAAGTCCACTGAGTTCCCTTAGCTCAGGGCTCTATGTAATTAAATATTTTTTCACAGGTAAATGAGGAATTCACTGGGCTCTCCCACAAATTGGTTGTTTGACCTAGGGCAAATACTTTCTCCTTCTTGGGCCTCAGTTTCCTTACCTGTAAAATAAGGATATTGGATTAGGTGCTCCCCTCTAGCTCCAAGATCCTACATTTCCTTTTGGTTACATTAAAGGGGAGCAGGGCTAGCTAGCCTCTGGGGCCCAGTAATGTGTTCTTAGCCTAATCCAACCAAGTCCTAAACAATCAGGGATGATCTCCTGGGGCAATACTGGCAGGACACCATCTTTTTTGGGGTGCTCACCTCTTTCCTCCTTAGGAAGGAACCACTATTGCTGAATGATCTGATACTGCCACTGGTAAATGCTGTTTTCTCCAGTTTCTTATGTGAGCCAGCACAGCATAGTGGGAAGTTGTGGGGGGTGGGTAGGGGCCTCCTGAAAGCCCGGTTGATGGTGGGAGTCTCCAGAAGGCAGGCTAAAAGTGACTGAGGCTCTCTGGGCCTTGGTTTTCTCATTTAGGAGGCAAGGAGGTTAGATTAGACGGCCTCTGAGGTCCTTTCTGTATGTAAATCTGTACCCTGTAAATGCTACAGTATCTGCCGTGAACATCTGCTTATAGAGACATTCTGCTGGACAGCTCTGGTCCTGAAAAAGTTTTTTTTCCTCAGCAATAATTAAATGACAATGATAATGCTCTCTTGTCTCTAAGGCAGTGCTTGGTGATCCTACAGGACAGGTGAAGAAGACAAGCATTTATTAAATGCTTACTATGTGCCAGGCACCGTGCTAAGAGCTTTGCAAATATTCTCTCATCTGATACCATACGTTACTACAATGCCGTATAGCTGGTGGGACCTAGATCATCATCTGCACTTGACAAATGAGGAAAGCGGGGCCCAAAGACAGATTTGTCTAGGATCAATGGACTCAGACCTCATTGACCTTTGGTAATAACCTTTAATTTCTCAGCGGCATCAGATCTACAGGGGAGAAAGCCTCAGGGTAGATGTCAGAAGAGATGGCTAGAGATTGGTGTGTCTATCACTTAGCTGGGGATCATTAAGAAATCCCTACCTTTCTCTTCTCATCTGCCAAGTGGGAGATTAGAAGGAGCAAGGAGCTATGAGCCTGTAGTCTAGAAGAACTGAGCTCAAATCTGACCTCAGACATTTCCTAGTTGTGTGACCCTGGGCAAGTCACTTCACCTCGGTTTGCCTCCGTTTTCTCATCTGTGAAATGGGGATAATTTAAAGAGCACCTATCTCCCAGAGTCGTTGTGAGAATCAAATGAGATAATGATTGTAAAGTGCTTAGCACGGTGCCTGGCACACACAGTTAGGTGCTTAATAAATGCTTGTTTCCTTCCCTTCCCCACTCGAGGGCATCTGTAGCGTCCCTTCCAGTTCTGATTTTCTGTGATTCTGAGTCCTCTCTTTCCTTGTACCTTCCCCTCCTGCAGCTACTCCTCCCTTTCTTTTTCTTTCTCCACCTGCCTTGCACAATCTGGGTCCCCTTGGCCCCGCCCCAGGCCCGGGCTTCCCAGATGCTCTCTCCCCTCCCGCGCCGCGGTTACCATGGGGATGGCTTACAGCAGGCAGGGCGGGATGCAGACCCGCGCGCTCGCTGGGCGTGCTCTCGCGATGCTTGAGTCGGGCACTGTCCCTCAGCGGCCGTGGCGGAGGTTCCGGTGTGGATGGCGGCCGCAGTAATGGCGGCTGCTAGCGCGGCACGGGCCGGGCCCGGGGCCCGGGCCCTGCGGGGGTCCTTGCCGCTCGTGGTGATTCTCGGGGCCACCGGCACGGGCAAGTCCAAGCTGGCGCTGCAGCTGGGCCAGCGGCTCGGCGGTGAGATCGTCAGCGCCGACTCCATGCAGGTAAGGCGGCCCAGGCTGGGGCCGGGGATGAGGGGCGAGCGAGGGAGGCCCGGGATGGCGGGAGGCGGGAGGAGGACGGCGGGGAGGCAAGAGGGACGGAGGGAGGAGGCAGAGGCCTGCTCCGCGTGGCCATCACCAAGCTGTCCACGCCGGGCGCCTCGCACGCACGAGACGTGCACCCCCCCCCGGCCGGGATGCCCCCACTCTTCCTCTGCCACTCTCAGGCCTCCCTTTCCCCCTTTCCCTCACCTCTCGTTCCCCCTCCCCCCTTCCCTCCTTCACCTTCCTCGTCCACTTCTTCCTTCTCCCTTTTCTCTCGTCTCTCCCTTTCCCTCTTCCCATTCCTTCCCCTTCCCTTTTCTCTTTCACTCTCTCCTCTCTCCTTTCCCTCCCTCTCTCCCTCCCCTTCCCCCTTTCCTCTTCCATTTCTCCTTCCTTCTTCCATTTCCCCATACCCTTCTACCCTCTCCCAATTTCTTTATCTCTTCCCTTCCCTCCTTTTTTTCCCTTTCCCTTCTCCCCCTCCCCTTTCTCCTATTTCTTTTCCCTTCACCCTTCCTACCCCCTTCCTCTCTTTTCTCTTCCTTTCCCCCCTCTCTTCATTCACCTCTTTCCTCACTTTCCCCCTTTTTCCTCCTCTCTTGTGTGTTTTTCTCCCCTATACCCTTCCTTCTCTTCTGATTTTCCTCCCCAGATATTCCTCTTCCTTTCTTTTTCTCCTCATCATGCCCACTCTGGTCTCCCCATTTCATCCAAGATGGTGATACATTGCAAAGAGTGTTAAAAGAAACTGAGTTAAAATGCTGTCTTCTCCTAATTACGTGTGTGACCTTGGACCAGCCATATAGCCTTATTCTCCTCTTGAGGTCAGGGACTCATGTTTGTCTTTGTATCTCTAGCACATAGCATAGTGCCTTACATATAGTAGGTATTTGTTGAGTTATATTGAAGGGGTTGGACCATGTGTTCTCTAAATGCAGCTCTGAATCAGTGATTCTTTTCTCTTCTTAACCTCTTCTGCTTCTCTCCCCCTTTTCTGGGATCATAGGAATGCATATCTCTTTCTCCTCCGTATACTGAATCTTCTTTTTAGAATACCATGCTCAAGAATGCTGGGTCCTGGTGCATATTTAAGAGTGTTAAAGGATTGTAGAAAGGGGATTCTAGAAGCATTCAGTAAATATTAAATGACTACTCTGTATCCAGTGTATGTTAGGAGTGTGTGTTGGGGCAGGAAGGTAACGGACCTATATTTTTTAGTCACCTCATGGTGACAAGGAACAGACAGGTACTTAACTTGGGCCTGTCATCTCCTCCTTTAGATCAGGTGGAACGTGGAGGATTACTTAGATTGTTTTTCTTAGGGGAGAATTTTCTTATTTGAGTATTTTATTCTCTTAAAAGTGAGAAAAGGTAGAAGGAGGAGAGTAAAATATTACTGATTTTGAGGTGATCTGTTGACATTTGAGTGCAGGCATATGCCCAGTGCCAAACCGGGGATTAGAGAAGAAATAAAAGCTGTGGTCCTGAGCCTCGAAAAGACCGTTGACTAGGGAGACAATTCAAACTGTACTCACCAAATGCTATGACCGTATAGAATTAGGCTGTGAACTTTAAGGGACAAACCAAGTGCTGTCCAAGTTCAGAGAGGAGAGTAAATGAAGGGAGGCTTCATGTGGGAGGCAGTACTTGGGTTGTACTTTAGAATAGACAGAAATGGAAAAGGCCTCAGGAGGGAGGCTGTAGAGATTATGGTGAGGGGAGCAAAGGCTTGAAGAAAAAAATGAACAAGCAGTGTTTGAGTGAATAGAGAAGAGGCTTTATTTTGGAGAACAGAACAAACATCATTTTGTGTATAGAGAGATTTAGAACGTTTTAATCCCTACAGTAGATTTCAGGCGCTGGGTTCTGAAAAGCTTTGGTAGAAGGTAGGGAGTCATGAAAGGTTTGATTCCCCCTTAATTGTAGTGCCTTTCCTCTGTTGATGATCTCCAGTTTGTACTATAGATAGCTTGTTTGTATCTAGTTGTTTGCACGTTGTCTCCCTCATCATACTGTGACCTTTTTGAGAACAGGGACTATCTTTTGCCTTTCTTTGTATCCTCAGCTTTTCAGTGCCTGAAATATAGTAGGTGCTTAATAAATGCTTATTGACTAACTTAGAGAGCAGGAAGGTGAAATCCTCTTTCTAGGACATAAGTAACATATTCTACTAGAGACTATTTTTCCTGTTGAGTGGATTCATAAAGATAGGAAGTGGAGTTGGTATATTTCATATCTTTTCCTCTTCCATTGCTGCTTCCAAATTGTTCTCCTGCCATACTTCTATGATTTCTCTTTTCAGGTCCGTACAGTCTGTTTACATTACCTTCTCCCTATCCATGTGTGTTGACAAGTAGTTTCCAGATGACTTTCTCAGCTTTTCTCAGTGACTTTAATACCTATCTCATTCCTTGCTGTCATCCTTAGGGATTTCACAGTTTGTATTGAAAACTTCTTTAACAGCCTGACCACATAATCCTTTGAGTCCAGTGATCTTCTCCACTCTACTTCAGCTGACTTAGACTTCTTGTAATTTCACAGTGTCCAAATTCCTTTTTTTTAGGTTGTATTTTTTTTCAGTTCCAAATTCTCTCCCCCTTCCTATACCCCCCTTGAGAAGGCAAGAAATCTAAAACCCATCATAAATATGAAGTCAAAAGTCCAAGATTCTAAGGGTTGAAATTTCATTCTCCAACCACAGACTGATCTGCTTTTATTTCTTCCAGTCTTTTGTTTTTCTTTTTAGGCAATTGGTGTTAAGTGACTTGCCCAGAGTCACACAGCTAGTAAGTGTCAAGTGTTTGGTCTGAGGTCGGATTTGAACTGAGGTCCTCCTGACTTCAGGGCTGGTGCTCTATCCACTGCGCCACCTAGCTGCCCCTTCTAGTCGTTTACTTAAGCTAAACCTACATCTTTACCCATGTCAGTATGTCAGGGCCTTTGACCTACTTTATTATATTAGACTTGTTTACCCTGTTTTACTTTTTCTTTTACTCTCAGCCTTGACCTCATGGTCTACCATTTTAATAATTCACTAACTGCTATGCTAGAGTCTTGAACTTGACCCCTAGATTTCAATATTCCAGATAAACCTCGTCCCTCGTGAAATACTACTATGTAGTTTTTCTACTTCTTATTTCTGGGTGCAGAGTGTTGCTGGAGAAAGTAAAAAAATTGAGCTGATTTCACCCACTACGAATTGATGGTACATAACCTTAACCAGGTTTTTGCTGCTGGTCATCAGCCCTTCTGCTCTTGTTGATTATCTTCTTCTCCTCTCTGTCCTGAGCCTTTTCCTCTCTTCTTAAACTGCCAACACGCAGCATGTAACAGGATCATAAGTTCATAGCTCTAGGTCTGTGGAAGAGACTTTGGAGGTTGATCCATGTAGATAGATAAGGAAACATATCCAGGGAAGTAAGCTGATTTGCCCAAGGGCATAGGTAGGTAGTGGCAGAGCCTAGATTGCAACCCAGATCTTCTGCCTGCAAAGGCAGTGTTTAACTGTCCCCCTTCTATGCAGATGGCTTCCAAAACCGTAGACCGTGTCTCCAGTTCTGATCTACTTTCTGAGCTCCAGACTTACAATTTCATTACTCTCCTGACATCCAAGGAGACTTAGATGTTCTATGTGACGCCTCAGACTAAACCTGTCTAAAACACAGTTTTGTCTTTCCACCAAACTCTGTTGCTGCCATCGACTATCCTCTTTTTACATGTGACAGTTAGTATTCACCTAGTTTCCTAAGTTTGAGCTCATTATTTTTATTACTGCTGCACCGTCACCTCTCTCACCCAGATGCCTTAGATTTTAGGGTAACAGGTTTCAGCGGATTCGTAGTCTCTACCCATGTACACAGGTACCACCAGAGCTTGTACTTTGCATGGATTGTTGTAATAGTCCCCTAATTAGTCTTCCTGACTCAGCTCTCTCTCTCCTCTCCATTCTGTCCTCCACGTTTTCCTGCAGTGCCAATCCGACGACGTTACTCCCCTGCGCTGTAAACTCTAGCTGCTTAACTTGGAACCTGTGAACTTCGGAAAAATTTTTTTTGGAATAACATATATTAATTTTATTTTTAACTTATGAAATAAAACAAGCATTTCCATGACTTATATAATAAAAAAGATGATTATACATGAAACTAGAAATCTATTATGTACAACTTGCTATTCCTTTTAAATATATAATATACAAATTTTTTTTCTTCCCTCTCCCCCAGATGACTACCGTTAGACACAGCTCTGTGTGACACATACACACACACACACACACACACACACATATCACATTCTATACATACTTCTGTTTAAAAATTCTTTCTCTGGATGTAGATAATGTCTTCCTTCATATTACTTCATATTCCTTCATATGTGGGTATTTATAGTAGTCAAAACGACTTAGTCACTCAAAGTTGTTCTTAAAGCAGTATTGCTGTTACTGTATACAATGCTCATTTTGCTCTTATTTTGTGTAAGTTTATTCATATTTTTCTAAAACCAATGAGCTCATCATTTTTCATAGGACAGTAGTATTTCATCACAGTCATATACCACAACTTGTTCAGCCGTTCCCCAACTGATGGACATCCCTGCAATTTCCAGTTCTTTGCCACCACAAAGACAGCTGCTGTAAAACATTTTAGAACATATAGGTTCTTTTCCTTTTTCCTTAATCATCTTTTGAAATAGACCTAGTAGTGGTATTCCTAAGTCAAAAGTTATAGACAGTTTAATACCGCTTTGGGCATAATTCCAGATTGCCCTCCAAAATGGTTGGCTCAGTTCACAATTTCACCAATATTGAATTAGTGTCCCAGTTTCTCTACATCCCCTCCAACATTCATTGCTTTCCTTTTCAGTCATTTTAGCCCATCTGATAGCTGTAAAATGATAACTTAAGGTTGTTTTAATTTGCATTTCTTGAATCAGTGCTGATTTAGAGCATTTTTCATGTG